AAAAAAAAAAAAAAAAATTCTACAATCTTCCTAGACATAGGTACATATAAATATATACATCTGTATGGATATATTAATAATTTTACATAATTGTTGAATAAGGCACTTTGGAAGGAAAGTCCATTAAACACCAAAATTTTAAATAACTGTAAAAATGTCTATGTTCCACAATAATTTATTGGTTTTTTTTCTTTGTTAATAGGTAATGTTTCAAGTATCTTGCAGGAAGCACAAGTACATTATATTTCTCGAACGTTTTGTAATTCTGAGAGGAGTTACGCGGGAATAATTCCTCATACTTCGTTTTGTGCAGGTGATGAAAACGGAGATTTTGATACTTGCAGGGTAAGAAAAATAATTTTCCTTTTAAATATTTTCTAAAGTCAGAAGGGAACATGAATCAGACCTTTCGTCACTTTCAAATGGTCTTAATTACACCAGGTCTAAAAATGCTTGACCCCACCAGCCTTGGTGCATGTGGCTGGCGCTATAACCACTGTGCTATGGGCACTGAGCCATTCCTATATTATATTTCTCCTGAGTAATTGTATTTAAAATCCAAACAGTTTTGTTTATAGTATTTTCATTCAAAACTATGCAGGTGAAAAATTTATTTACCAACTGTTTACTTATCTCCAAATATGTGGGCCAACTGGTTACCTCTTCTTTGAGTTGGAATATTAAACTCAAAATCTATGGATTTTTAACACTTGGAGGCATATTTAAAATGTGTATTTACAAAACTTAAGTTTAATGTAGTTAACTTTTTTCCAGTTCTACTGTTGTTTAACAGATACTAGAAGTAACTAATGCTGTTTGGGGGCTTTTTTGATAGGGCGATAGTGGCGGACCATTAATGTGCTACTTACCGGAGCAGAAGAGATTTTTTGCGATGGGAATTACCAGTTTTGGACATGGCTGTGGTCGAAGAAATTTCCCTGGTATCTATAGTGGGCCATCCTTCTTTCAGAAGTGGCTGACAGATCACTTCTCCCAGGCAAGAGCTAAAGGCATATGTAATGTAAATATTTTACTTGGACAGATCCTCGTAGCTTTAGGTTCTGTTATCTTACTAGCAATAACATAAGAAATTCTGAAGACTTTAGTGCTTTTGTTTTGTATCGTGTCCCTCCCTATCTTCTCCATAAGGAAATCATTTATTCTCTTAGCAATTAATTGCTCACATTAGGGTTCTCATGTGAACATTTTTTAAAATATAAGAATAGTAACAGATATACGATTGTAAATTTGGCACTGAATCACATGCTTTTTTGATGCGTTTTGATTGTTTTACTTTATAATCATAATTTTGTATTTGGAATATTTTCCTAGAGTTTGTGTAAAATATTCAGTTAAATATATACTTTGTGTGTATGAATGCCAAATAATAAAGAGTTTACAATTAAAAAAAGAAAAGCCACAGAGACGCTGTGCTGATTGTCATGTTCTGATTTGGTTAAAAAAAAAAAAAAAA